GCGCCTCTGCAAATTGCTACACACATCTTGAGCAACGATACTTGTGTTTTGTGATTCTTGTTGAAGCTTAATTTGTGCAATATTATTTCATGTATAGTCAATGTGATGATTTTATCATTATTGATAGATTTTATTTTTACCTAAATTTGTTTAGTGTTTATATGAGCAATAAATCACATACAAATGTGGATAAGTCCTTTGCATTTTTACCAAAATCTGTTTATTCTGAGTTCTTTATATTTAGATACTGCACATGAAAATAAAGCAGTGAAGAATTTAAATAACGGAAGGTTTTTTTTTATATATATATATATACAATACCGTTTAAAAGTTTGGGGTCACATTGAAATGTCCTTATTTTTTAAGGAAAAGCACTGTACTTTTCAGTGAGGATAACTTTAAACTAGTCTAAACTTTACAGAAATGCACTCTATACATTGCTAATGTGGTAAATGACTATTCTAGCGGCAAATGTCTGGTTTTTGGTGCAATATCTACATAGGTGTATAGAGGCCCATTTCCAGAAACTATCACTCCAGTGTTTTAATGGTACAATGTGTTTGCTCATTGGCTCAGAAGGTTGATTGATGAGTAGAAAACCCTTGTGCAATCATGTTCACACATCTGAAAACAGTTTAGCTCTTTACAGAAGCTGCATAACTGACCTTCCTTTGAGCAGATTGAGCTTCTGGAGCATCAAATTTGTGGGGTCAATTAAATGCTCAAAATGGCCAGAAAAAGAAAACTTTTATCTAAAACTCGGCAGTCTATTGTTGTTCCTAGAAATGAAGGCTATTCCATGTGAGAAATTGCTAAGAAATTTAAGATTTTCTACAACGGTGTGTACTACTCCCTTCAGAGGACAGCACAAACAGGCTCTAACCAGAGTAGAAAAAGAAGTGGGAGGCCACGTTGCACAACTGAGCAAGAAGATAAGTACTTTAGAGTCTCTAGTTTGAGAAACGGACACCTCACAGGTCCCCAACTGGCATCTTCATTAAACAGTACCTGCAAAACACCAGTGTCAACATCTACAGTGAAGAGGCGGCTGTGGGATTCTGGGCTTCAGGGCAGAGTGGCAAAGAAAAAGCCATATCTGAGACTGGCCAACAAAAGATTAAGATGGGCAAAAGAACACAGACAAGAATCCAAGTTTGAGGTGTTTGGATCACAAAGAAGAACGTTTGTGAGACGCAGAACAAATGAAAAGATGCTGGAAGAATGCCTAATGCCATCTGTTGAGCATGGTGGAGGTAATGTGATGGTCTGGGGTTGCTTTGGTGCTGGTAAGGTGGAAGATTTACACAGGGTAAAAGGGATTCTGAATAAGGAAGGCTATCACTCCATTTTGAAACGCCATGCCATACCCAGCGGACAGCGCTTGATTGGAGCCAATTTCATCCTACAATAGAACAATGACCCCAAACACACCTCCCAATTGTGCAAGAACTATTTAGAGCAGAAGCAGGCAGCTGGTATTCTATCGATAATCGAGTGGCCAGCGCAGTCACCAGATCTGAACCCCATTGAGCTGTTGTGGGAGCAGCTTGACCGTATGGTACGCAAAAGGGGCCATCCAACCAATCCAACTTGTGGGAGCTGCTTCTGGAAGCGTGAGGTGCAATTTCTCCAGATTACCTCAACAAATTAACAGCTAGAATGCCAAAGGTCTGCAATGCTGTAGTTGCTGCAAATGGAAGATTCTTTGACGAAAGCAAAGTTTGATGTAACATTTTCTATTCATTTCACAACGTATGGTGGTGAATAAGTGTGACTTTTCATGGAAAACACAACATTTTTTGGGCGACCCCAAACTTTTGAACGGTAGTATATTTATATATATATATATATAATATAATTATTATTATTGATGAACATGGTTGCCACATGCGTTCCCCTACAGGTGGATCACTTTCAAAGCGGGAAAAGGATTGTGAAAAGCTTAATTCTTTCTCCTTAACCAATACAACGCAGTCAGGAGAAGCACAGGAAGCGCCACTCTTGGACATCAAAATAAAATAATTTGTTCAGTTATACGTCAAACCACTCAACATTCTCAACTTTATTTGTTGGGCTTGGCATTATGCATCCATCCATCCATTTTCTTAACGGCTTATTCCGTAATGGGGTCATAGGGGGACTAGAGCCTAACCCAGTAGTCAGTGGGCGACAGGCGGGGTATACACTTCATGACAGGAAAGGGCTTCTGACACAGCACCAGGGCCAAACAATTTTACTTATCGGTTTCTTTTTCTGTTTGCATGAGTAAAATAATGCAGATGCAGAAACTATTACAATTTCCTTCAGTCATGATTACTTCAGTTTTTGTTGTAGGTCTTTGGGGCTCTAAGCAAGACATGCAAACATATAGAAAGTTTGGCAAATGATATCCATATCACTGACGAATTGAACAACACTATAAACTATGTTATCATATTATTTATATTTGAAAGGATGACGGGAAAGAGGACAAACCAGATATATTTTAAAAAGTTTTCACTTGTCAAGAAATATAATTTCTTGACGTTTTCAGTTTTCACTGAACACGTTGTTGGTGTGCTTATCCACAGAGCTATATACTTATCTTTTCTATGTGTTTGACGGAGAAACAAAGTAGACAAAAAATATTTTTCTGCGTTTTTGTCGTTGGTTATTTTGATACTGGAAACCGGAACTAATACAGACGTCACTGTACGGTTGTCTAAAATGTTCGGCTAAGAAAGCGACCCTTGCAGGGCTAACATTTTTAAGCTGAGAAAACGGCCAATCGTTCACTTGGTCGACTTATCATAATAGAAAGCCAACGCCTGCCGCGGAAGATGTTTTATTATTATCGGCTTTGAATAATAGGCATTTGTTTTTTGTTGTTCTTGTTGGCATTTGCTTTTCCCATGGCTTTGGCCATAAAGCCAACTCGTTAGCTGAGGTAAGCTCCAGCTAGCTGTAAACAAGCTAAACCATTGTTAATTATAAAGGGGTTTAGTTTTAAGGCTAACACAGTATTCGTCTCATTGCAGAGTTCCTTTGTCAGGTATTATAGTTAATCCTGCTAGTTCTGATGACGCTTTTTCGTTGCCTGACAACGGACAATTAAAGAGACAGTAACGTTGTGTGTACATATACACTGGCCAGACTAAGTCATTATCATTTACGGGTGGTCTTGTTAGTTTATCTGTTGCTAACTGTCCTCTCTGCTTTAGGTAGTAAAGTAAAATAAAAAGAATGGCAGGCCCGTTTCTCTGCTGTGTTGTGTAAGTCCAATCAAAGGAGATGGATGACGAGCTGGAGAGCTTCATCAGAGAGCGCAAGGTGCGTGTGGCTAAAGATAAAGCCAGTTTAGAGCAAGACCCCCCTTATATGGAGATGAAGGTAAGTCTGTATGACCACTCGTTCCTATGGTTACTTAAGTAAGCGTTTAGTTCAATGAACCCTGAACCGATAGTTTTATTTTTATTTTGGACGCAGTGTGATTCATAAGGCTGAATTTAATCCGGTTTGTCCAAAGTTGTAGGCTGTAAACAAGGAAACAAATAAGTTTTCTTACTCACTTTTTGAGGAATGAACATATACATAGCAGAAACTATATAATCTTTAATTAAAAATCCATTAATAAAAATTCTAGAACTATGTTTTTAGTCAGCCTTCCATGTATTTTTTCCTTTTTAGAGCTTTGATATTTGTATAGATGAGGAATCCCCATCGGGAAACCTCTCATTCTTATGTGAATCATGTACTTTATTCTATCCTCACTAGCTTCAATAATTTCTTCCACTTCAATAGCCTTTTCTTTTATGTTCTCAGACAAACATAAATTTAAGGATTGCAGAATGTTTATTGGACATATACACCCCTCATTTGCTCATATTTTGCTTCCATGTGGCCACATTTTTGTAAATATGTATCAGTAATTTCCTATACTTTCCTGGCATATTTACAGGTGTTTTTCTTTTCTTTGGCCTCGGTTCCCAACGAGCTATTAGTTAAAAACCTGGCATGTGTCAGGTTTAAAGAATAGAAACTTCCATCAAAGACCTGAGAGGTGTATTTGGAACTTTAGCTGACCCTTCAACCTGCATAAAACTCATCCAAAATGTTTTTCATGGAAAGATGGCCGTTTGGAAGCTATTTTACATCCCCAATTTTAACCTTTGACTTCTTTCTGTTCTTTGTTGATAGTCAAAACCACGTAGAGCCCATGGGACCACTGCTAAGGAGAATATCCCTCCCCAGTTCATGACACAGGGAAAAGGTGTTGAATAAAGCTTCATTCAATCAATTTAGCTACAATTTTCAGTTTTTGTGGTTGTGTTTCTGGTTGTTGGCTATCTTTCTGTCAAATATTGATGGGTGTGTTTTGCCAGACGAAGGTTGCATTGTGGGTCTGCCCCTTGGTGTGGAGTATGAGAAGAAGAAGCAGAGGCTGCAGCAGGAGCTCCGTATGGACTACAGGCGCTACATGGCTCAGGTGACCTTTTCTCACTTTGTGTGTCATGTGCCTGCTGACTACATTTGGATTTTTCCTTGATTCAGGTTGTCCCTGCTTTATTACAAGGTTTGGTTCAGTTTGCCAAAACCAACTCCAGTTGTTGATTAGGGCACAATTTCAAAGCCCATCCTGAAATCTTTTCCTGCTTTTCTTTTTCAATTTCTCAGAAAAAACACTTTGACCCTGGAGAACCAGAAGCATTAACCCTATATGCCAGCAGGAAAGCTATAAAGGTAAATATTTCCTTACAAATATGGGGCAAGTTGTAACTAAACTGACCAGATAATCTTTTGTTTTACTTTTTTTAATGCCTAACCAAGATTTTCTGAATTTCCAAATACAGGATCTTTTTTCTTGTTCTTTCTTTTTAATTGGTTCAAACAGACACTTTGAAAAGTGCTGTTGAGTGTGTTTTTAGAATTAGGATTAATTTGGTTAGTTATGTTGCACCAACGTGACCCACATGGATCAAATTCTTGACATGAATGATTATTTTTGTACTTTTTAAAACGCAGCTGCTGCCTGAAGAGCAGGCTGGTGTTTTTCCCAAACACCGATCGCCGTTGCAGAGAGACATGGCGGCTGTAATGGAGAACAGAGGGCTGCGCCTCGCTCGGGTTGGGAGCCCATCTGTTGAGGAAGATGAGGGGCCCTCCTCAGTGCTTCCTCGGCATTGTGACCAGCAAGCTAAGCCAGGTGACCAGGATTCAGAGGAGGTGGCGGCGGAGTGTTTCAGAGCTGAGCCGGAGCCAACAGACGGCAGAAGACGCAGGACGCTGGGAGCTGGAACCAACTTTGATAGGAGCCAGACAACCAGAAATAACGAGAGGTAGTTGGGTGGATACCCAATTCATGTTTTTTCTTTTGCTTAACACAGGACTTGTTTAGTTTTTAGTACTTTTATCTATTTTGTGTTTACAGGGACAAGAGGGAGATGCTGGTTGGTACTGGCAGAGAAGTAAGGAGATCAACAGCTCTGTATAAGAATAATAGTGCTGAGTTCATCACAGGACTGCTGATAGGTAATAAAAAATGTTTTAAAATATCTCATATTCACAACTGTGCTGCGTTTTTTTTTTTTTTTTTTTAAAAAAAATCCTTTAAAAAGTAAAAATCAAGTTTTTTTTTTTTTTTTTTTTTTTGTAGTTCCAAATAGCCTTTTTTTTGTTCTGAAATTTCCTTCTATCCCCATAAAGGACACTTATTTTTTTCATAAAACATGTTTTTAGGGGCGGCTGACACGGATGAGGCTTTGCAGAGGAGAAAGGAGCTCTACAGGCAGGAGCTGCAGGAGCAGATAGCCGAGCAGCATCGCAATAAGAAGAGGTGAGACTTCACTGGTTCTCATCCTGTGATGGCTGAAATACGTTGTGCTGACTTGTTACGTATCACGTGTTGGTGTGTGTTTCAGGGAGAAAGATTTGGAGCTTAAAGTTGCTGCAACAGGAGCAAATGACCCCGAGAAGCAGGTACAACATGCCGGGTGCCAACTGGGTAAACAACACATTTTACAACACACTTCTTTTTAATCAGTTCCATCCTTTTGCACATTCCAGCCAGACCGGATCAAGCAGTTTGGTTTGAGCAGAAGAAAGGGTCCTTCAGCCACAGGAGAGAGTAATGAGAGTACTGGTAATGAGAGGAGCAGCATCAGAGAAAGGGAGATGCCTCCTCCTGACCAACCACATGTTGCCTTCCAGTCTCCCCTGCTGGAGTATAGTTCTGCTCTTGGCCTGTCTCCCAACATCCAGCCTCCTGCCCCCTCTTTCCCAAGTCCCATGGACATTCCCAGGTATTTTCAAACCTGATTTTAACCTTATTTGGATCCATGCAACACACTCATTATTTTGCTGAAATGGTCAATGTTAGTGGTATTGCTGTAGCAAAACTTGGAAAAAAACAATTTTGTGAATTTATTGTTTTTGACACAATTCTTTTTTTTATTTTTTGCTTTTTTTGGTGGGGTTTTCCACAGAATGTCGGGGTTAAAACATTTCATAGCTGGAAATCATGCAGATTTGCACCCCCTTATTCCAATTTGCTATATTTTGAAAAGATTTCCTCTTCCAGTTTGGAGTTGTTGGATCTCTTTGTTACATGACTTAAAAACTAAACAATACAAAGTAGATTTATTTCTAAAAACTGTATGCAGGGAAGTGTTAACTGCTTTGAAACCCTTTGAGATTTCTTCTGAATTTTGACATGTTTTTTTGTCTTTTCTGTTGATAAAAGGGACTTTATTATTTAGTTAATTTAAATACAACTGTTTGTTCTAGTTGTAAAACTGAATAAAAAATAAGCAATCAAAAGATTTTGATACCTGCTTAACATTTTAAATGTGACCCCTGGTTTGTTCTGAGCTGTGCAACTTTAGGATACTCTTTCTAATCTTTCTAGAAATCCCTTGTTTGCTCCTCATCCTCCTTCTACTCTAAGTGAAGCTTACAGAAGCCCTTGTGGAGAATGTCATCCGTACTACGGCACAAGAAACCCTATCGACCCAAATATGGCTTACTGTAAGTGTTGGTCTATTTTTTACGCTTATTAAGAAGTAGGGGCAAAAAAAGCCTAATAAGGTGTTCCTACTCATCTCTCCAGACGGACATTTGTCTGTTCCTGGTGCTGGATTTCCCCTGTCGTACTGGGGTATGCCACCAGCGGGAGCTGTGCCCAGCCAGTTTGGCCACCGCAGCCCACACGGCCAGCACAGTGTATGCAGCTTCCCAGAGCGTCCAGTACAGTAGGTATCTGTTTCTGGTTTCGCTTTGACCCAAATACCAGATTTAAACCTCCAGTTGTCTCCAAGTCAGTTTGACTCATTTCAAAGGTTGATATAACTTTACTCCTCTCAAATATTATGACTTGTTAATAGTTCATTTTTTATATAGAATGCTTTTAAATTTTGTATTTAAAAAAAAATAGTTTGGAATGAATATTCCAACTAAATGTTTATATATGCCTGTCTGTGACGATACATTAACATAGTTGCCTCTGATCCAAACTGTACTCCAAGTAATTCATGATTCCTGCTGTTTTAACCCTTAAATGATGTATTATTTAATATAAATGAGGTCTATTATACCATGTGTTCCAAAAGTTAATGTAAACTAAAAGGTATAACACAAAATTATGTGATAATTTTAGACCTAATTGTTAATAAATCATGTCAGTTTGACCAAAGAAGACAACGGGTGTAACATTTGCAACCATTAGAAAAATACTGAAACGGTTTAAAACCAAATTAGATTTTAACATGCGCCACTCATAACCATTGGGAAAATTAAGAATGTTTGCTTTTTCCCTCAAGAAAATAGGTATTACTCTCAAGAAATTAGGTATTACTTTACCATATATAACAAAAATAAGTGTCATATATCTGTTAATGTTTTGAAAATAGTAGAGTCTCAAATAATTGATGATTGTTTTATGAATTTTTCCTTCTATAAGCAATAAACGGAAATGGAAGGACGAAAAGTACAAAGTAAATAGGAAGACAACCGGAGGATTAATGTGAGAAACTGCAGGAAAATAATCTAACACATCTGGCAAACAAAGTCAAACACAAAGAAAATTAGAAAATAAAAGCTCATGTCTGTGTTTCTGAGGCCTTTAAGGTATCAGAGTCCTTCCTGTATTCATGTGTTTCCTGTAAGAACAGAGGTTTCTGACTGATCAGCTCCTCTGTTCACCATTATCCACCAGCAGTTGAGATTCTAACATGCAAAAACTGTAATTTTATTACAGAGGACTATCTAGTTACTGATTGTAGAACACCATGAACAATGTTATTCTGCACTGGCTCCAGCAGGCCCGGCAGCGAGACCACAGGTGTGGATTCCAAAGGTGTGGGTTTCCCCCTAGAACAACCCCGTTCGACCAGGGACAGGATTCTGAGCTACAGAGAAGCCCTCAAACAACAGGTATGTCAGCAGAAAGGACATTTTCCATTCTTAGCTCATCCAGTAAGATGCATTCTGGTGAAAATAGTCCCCAAGAAATTAACATTTTCTCTCCCAATGTTTGGATTTAATAACTGTGTTACAATCCATTCCTGTAATTGCAATCCATTCATCTTTGGCGATTGGTTTATTATAAGTGTTTGTATTAGAAAGGATTTTTTTTACCCCCTCTAAAAGTCACAATCCAAAGAGGAGGAAACAGATTTAGGCTCAGACTTAGACTTAGACTTGTACTTTATTGATCTCTTGGGAAGACTCCCTTAGGAAATTAAAGTTACCAGCAGCTTACAGGGCAAAAAAGTGGCACACAGAGAGCAAAATGCAAAAAAATAAAAAAAATACAGAAAATAGGTCTTGACGTCAACTCGCATTGATAGAGAATACGACGCAAATTAGCGGAAAATCTTTTCTTCGACTGCATCCTAGTTTGTGCTATATTGGCAGGAGGCTTCCAGGAGAGGGAGCGGCCATCAGTACAACCAGGTAAAAGGGATCCATATCAGAGTAGGTTAGTTAAGCAGTAGTTGTGTAGTAGTAGTCCTGTCACTGGATCCTTGTTTTTAGTTAGAGCTGCATTATAATTAGAATTACCCCTTGGATCATCATCTGCTTGGGATTTGTGCACCTCAGTCTCATCACAGCCCCTCCCAACTTTCACTCAAACAAACCACAAAAATCCTCTAAAACCAAAGCTGTCATTGCTATGCTTTGAGTTCCTTGTCATGTTTGTGATTCTCAGTGCTGTTCAGAGGGTCACCTCTCATTTATTTATTTATTGGCAGAAAAAAAGGAACAGCCATGCTTAAACATTCGGGAAATACAGGGTAAGAGACAGAAACAGAGCTAATGCAGTTATGATATGACTGAAAGTCAATACATAGTATGAGCTTTTTCCTAAGTTTCAATTACTGTTTATCTGTTGTAGATTGCTTTTTTTCCCCTTATCTTTTTTAAAGGCTTTAAACATTTTTTTAAAGGAAAAAGGGCCCACCATAATGAGAAATTCCAAGTTTTAGTTCTATTTTCCATTTCTTGACAGCGTGCTAGCTAGAAAATGGCTAAACACTTTGTTGAATGGATACAATGTTAACTGTGAGAGTTTTGTACATCTCTTTATGCTTGAGTGTTACTCAAAAAACACAAATGGTTGGATTCTGAGCTAGATACAGAGTAACAAAGCAGGCAAAAATTAGCTTCAGGAAGCCCGGGGCGCTCTGAAATAATCTGAGAAATTCTTGCTTGGAAGCTAATTTTATGAAGAAAGTACAGGTGAATAAACACTGTAGTGTTATAATTCAGTGGGTTATCCAGTCTTACACAAGCTGTGTGAAAGAGCGGATTTCTTTTTACCTGTGTTTTTGGTTACTGTGGTCTGTGACTGTAAAGTTATGACTGTTTCTCGATTTTTGTATTCCTTTGAAGTCCCTCTGTCAGTTCAGTGAAGAGAAAATCCGCTGTACTTTTGCAGTAGGAGACTAGTGTGTTAAATAGTGACCCATTTATTGTGCATAACGACTTCATAGAGATGGTGTGTGTAGATCCAGGAACAACAGGAGCGCAGGCTTTTTGAGCAGGAGGAGAGGGAACGCTATGAGGCCCGACTGGAGGCCGACATGAAGAACCACCAGCCATGGGGGAGAGGCGGAGGAGGAGCGCCGCTTAGGGACAGCACTGGAAATCTCATCGGTGGGTCTTCACCTCCCCTATTTGAAGTGGTGAATGATACGCGGGAAGTCTAACTCCCTCTAAATCGTGTTTGCAGCGGACCTTAACCAGATGCATAAACTGAACGAGGAGGCCTATAGCAACCCGGAGCAATGGCAGAGGAGAGCAACCGCTGCCATGAAGGCCCGCCGCGCTGGTATTGCAGCAGAGACCTGCAACCACAATTCCACTGACAGGATCTCAAGTAACTGTCCATCTTTAATTTTTGTTCTAGATCATTTTGAATTCTGTTGCTTACATGAAAAAGAAGAAAATACGTTTGATATAATTAGTGCTCGAGAAGTCCCACTAGGGAGTACAATTCCTCTCCTCTTCCTCCTTCTGCAGGCTTTACTCATGTCAAAAGTCCACAGTTTGCCAGAGGCAACGTTTTTGCGAACCAGCCCACTGAGCAGCAGCTCCAGGAGCAGGACAAGTACAAAGCTTACCTCAAACATCAGGTATCTGTTTAAATGGCGGCCTATGCTCCAAGCTTGCTGTCTTTGGTGATTATCAAGGGTTTTGTTCTGTCCTCTTGACCCGCGGGTGCTTTCAGATTGAGGAGAAAATGAGGAAAAAGGCAGAGGAGAGGGAACGGACCAGGCTGGAGGAAGAGAAAGAGGAGAGGAGGCTGGCGGAGCAAAGGGCCCGCATTCAGAGGGAGTACGAGGAGGAGCAAGAGAGGAAGAGAAGGAAAGAGATGGAGGTGAGGTGCTTTATATCCCAGTTTTATGTCACTCAGGTGGACTAAAGCAATGCTTAGAGACTGGAGTCTTCTTTTAACTCCTTTGAAGCACATCTTCCTTTTTCATCCGTCTCAGCAAAAGGCCAAAAACGAGGAGCTCATTCAGCTGGCTGAGCAGAGGAAGAAGGAGGCGGAGAGGAAGAAAAAGGAGGTGGAGGAGAAAGAGAGTGCAGCATTGAGGAGGCAGTATGAGGGAGAGAGGCAGGCCAGAGTGGAGGAGGTCAGCTCAAAGATTTACCCCATTCCTGTCACTGTTTGTGTAGCTTATAATTTTTTACCTCCTATACTAAGTTTCTGATTTTCAGTGCTGTCAGAACCTCCTGATAAGCCTTTTTCAATTCAGTTTATTTGTTCATCAGGAAACAATGGCTCCTCAATGTGTCTTGATTCTTCTGCTAGTGCTAAATCTACTGTTTTCTTCTGCTAGTTTAAGTCGTATTCTCTATCAATGCGAGTTGACGTCAATCTGTTAAATGCTGCTACACGCTAAATCAGATTCTCAACAACCAACATTTTTTAGCTGTTCGGTTGTGTGTCGTCAGGTTCGCAGAGAGCCTTCACCTCCGATCCCCACCCTGCAAAAGAAGCAGGGATCACAGCAGTACACCCCCAGACCTCCCACTATTGACAGCCAGCGGTCAGCTCTTCCGCTGTCTGTGCGTTAAACACACAAATAGTATTTCAGGGTTTGAATAGGATCTTTTTTTTTTTTCAAATGACTTTTTTTTTCTGTCCTTTGTATTTCTTCAGGAGCACTCTTTGTCCGGGCTTCAGTCTCCTCCCGTCCCAGCATGTCGGAACCAGCTCAGAGCTGCCGGTACGGAGTCTTCGCTCAGTGTTCCTTGTCTTTGTTTTAACCTCAATAATCTGAGCTGAAAATGGAGAAGTTGTGGCCATTGTAGAATCCTCCTCAGATCTACATTATGCATTTGTTCCAGGGGAGCAGCGTGACCTGTTTAGCGAGCTTTCGTCACTGCGCCATCAGCTTCGCAGTGAACAAAAACGCCTGGAGAGCCGCCTACAACAGGGCGACTGGGAGGAGCTGGACTCCCCCATCAGCCTTAGGTCAGTACGAGGCATTTAGCGGCAGATTAGAATGATCAATAACTCGAAGCTTTTGGGATGTATTACAAACCTGTCAGACATCATAATCTTTGCCATCCTTTACAACCTTTTTATCCCACTCTGTGCAGACATCGGGAGCGCCCCCCTGTTGATGTGTTTGACATGGCCAGGCTCCGACTCCAGGCTCCGGTCCGAAGGCCGAGTTCCAGAAACACTGAGCCTAGAAACCTGCTGCGTATCCACGACTTGCTTCAGCTTAAGCATGCTGGTAACATGTGGTCTCCTTTGTCCTTGACTGCAAGCCAACACCATCAGATGAGGGCTTTGATCATGTGTATTTTTGCCTCAGATGCCGAGTGGAGGCTCGGCTCTGGTGACAGTAATGCTGCATCAGGTGGAGCCAGCAGGAGGAGTAGGGACTGCAGAGACTCGTGTCAGCAGTTTGTCAGTTGGAGATCTACAGTCCAGGACGGTCAGTTTTTTATTTTTTTATTTTATCTTTTAAATCTGCTGGTCAACAGAGTTTTACTTTCGACATTTTTTTCTCAATGTATTTTCTTGTACCTGACTGCTTTCAGACAAAGTGAAAACGAGATCTGTATCTGTTGTGATTCAGTCGGTTTGATTTTAAACGATCTGTTGTTTGTTTTTCAGATTATGGCGACTTGTCCCCACCTCAACGAAATGATTATCTGGTGAGAAAACGACAGTTAAGATATAAACAAGAACATTAATTTAAGCTTGTTGACTCATCTTTTAGTCAAATGCAGAAATCTTGTGAACAGATTTGTTTGTGGATGTATGTGTATTACAGAGAAGTGCGAGTGGAGGATCAGGAGGAAGCTTTCTACTCGAATCGGAGAGCGCTTTTATTGGTGATCTAGAACTGAGTAACTTTAAATTTGGACTACAAATCTGTTTGAATTAGTTTTGGTCAGTTAAATGGAAGATGTTTATTTGTCATGTTCAGACCCCCTGGGCGATGACTCTCCGCTGCTGCATGCTCCAGAGCTGGAGAGGATCTGTCAGCTGTCGGCGAGGGAGAGGAGGAGGTTGGCCAAACAGGTGCTCTGCCTCCTAAAAAGAAAAAAAAAGGCAAAAGGGACTCAAACAACATATTTCAACTTGCTTTTCTTTGCCAATTCTAGGAGCGATCAACCATTAGCCACCCTATTGGTCATCATGATGGCTACACCGCCCACTCAGGTGACCGGCTACGACACAACGTAGAACCGACCAGTAAGTGGAGAAAATGGGACAGGACAGGCTCATAGCAGTTGTCTTCTCACAAAACCACACCTCAGAATCCTGTCCCACAGTGGGAGCAATCAGTAACTATACAGTCATTATGTTTTTGAGTTGACTAGATTATGTTTTTAAATAAATTCTATTTTTTACTAAATGTCCTTTTTACACCCATCAGATGTCTGAAAGCCCCTCTGAAATCCTCCTTTCAGATCCCAAACCCACTAAAATGTGGCTGCATGTTTAGGACAATAGTAAATTAAAATATTATTTAAGTTCTTTTTAACTTTTTCATTTTCTGTAAATCAATTAAACTATGTTGACTGCAGTCCGACTGTAGGTCTCCATATCCCTGATCATGGTTGAATAAATAAATCTTGATATTACTGTGAGCTGCCTCTGACTTTTTTCTTTTTTTTTGGTGACAAACCATTGAAAAGATACGGTAACCCTACCATTCTTGTGCCACAAGACATCAGGGCTTCCATTCTGCTAATTTATTAATAATCCCAATGTCAATCGAATGAATCATCATTATTTTACTGATCATTAATTTACCTCAACTAGAATTTGATGGGGTTTGTACACTGCCTTTCCAATTTGAAATCAATTAAAAAAGGAAATAAGGGGGCTCATAAATTTAAAGCTTTATCATATTACTTTGAGAGTTTTGTTCAAATATTTTGATGTCATTGTTAATGATTTAGGTCATGATTATTATGTAATGAGGGCAATATCTTTTTTTTTTCTTTTTTTCCCCTTGTCGTGTTTGGTATTATGGCAACAGAATTGTAATCTGAATGCCGTGCTGTGCCTGACACTTTTGCTTTGCCAAGGGAGGCCTGTCAGGGTGAGAACCCTCCCTTGATCCTCCAATAGTGCTTTATTATATATTTAGGATTTATTTTTGTTACATAAGTAATACGGCTAACGCCAAACATGACTGGGGGACAGGAAAGGGGAAAAAAGAAAGAGATTCCTAAAACAGGAAGAGAGGAGAGGAAAAAAAAAAGGAAAGAGAGACAACAAAACCATCCATCCAGCTGCTGTATCTGTAGAAAGATGTCCTGTAGTCACCGTGGGCAAACTCGAGGGAGAACCTGCAAACAAACACTACAGGGAGACACACACAAACTAACAGCAAAATATTACAGCAGACAAACCCGGGGGAGAACCTGTAGAGAAGCACCTGCAAGCAGACACAAGAAAGAGACACACACAAACAGGCAGCAAAAACTGAAGGCCGCCACGACACTGATAGTAGTGACAGACAGACTATATTTCTAATTTTGTACGGCAACTGCACAGAAGCTCGAAGGTGTGTGTATGGGCAAATGAGTTAGTGTGTGTGCGTGTGGGTATAAGCACCGACGTGCAGAACATACAACCCAGGTTTCACACAGATTGTGCTCAGCTGAGCATGCATGGGGGGCACCACCACCGGCCCCGCTCCAGCAATCTGAAGAAGGCAGAGAGGACCCCAGACCCAGTCCACCAGCGGCCCTCCCGGAGCACCGATATAAGGCCTATACTGGCCTCTTTACATTGGCTGCCTGTTCTTCATCGAATAGATTTTAAGATTCTCTTATTAACTTATAAACCTTTAAATGGATTAGCTCCCCCTTATCTTCTAGAACTTTTAAAATTTCATTCCGTGTCCAGAACCCTACGCTCTAATAATCAGCTTTTACTGACAGTTCCTAAGACCCGATTAAAGAGGAAAGGAGATCGGGCTTTTTCTGCTGTTGCTCCTTCTCTATGGAACAATCTACCTTTCCAAATTAGATCTGCCCACAGCCTGGATCATTTTAAATCGCTTCTTAAAACTAATTTGTATTCCTTGGCATTTAATTGAACTAGTGTTTGATACTTTGTTTTTATTCATTTGTGTTGTTGTCACTCTTGTACAGCACTTTGGTGCAGTTCTATGCCTGTTTTAAAGTGCTATATAAATAAATTTGACATTGACATTGACATTGACCGAGACCAGGGAGCCCCCCATGGAGACAACCGGGCCCCCCCCAGCGGGCCACAGAGAGAGCCCCCCAACCGAGCCCCCCACGGGGATAGGGCAGAGGCCCCCCAGGAGCCACGAGCGACAGCCCTACGGCCTCCCCCCCATGCGCCGCCCCCCCCCAGGCACAGGACAGGGGCCGGAACCCGAGCCCCCCAGGCCCGAGCGCCACCAAACCGCCCCAGCAGAGCCCCCACCCCCCAGCATCCGAGGGGGCCAGGCCCCCCGGACAGCCCCATGCAGCGGGCCAGCACACACCCCAGCACCGCTGACCAGCTCAGTGCCCCGGAAGCCATGGCGCAGTGGCGGGGGGAGGCGGGGGCGGCGCCCAGTCCAACGCCAGCGGCCACACAGGCAGGCCCGGGGACAGTGGACCCAGAAC